CGACCTCTACGCCCTTAGCTTGGATGTGGCATTGGGACTTGGCTGAAAGTTTCCTTCGTTTGTCCTCCTGGTCCTCCTTTGACTGAAGTTCAGTCAGGGCCCAGGGGCTCTGAAGGACCGCAGTAAACTGATTGAGCTCTGAGATCAGACTTTTTTAGTCAATCTGCAATAATCTGGGCCGAAATCCCTTCAGCCATGTAAATCTTTTTCAGAATGGGATTGGCTGGCATCGTAAACTGCTCAAAGGAAATCCAATAGGGATTCAAAGGTTTAAGTTTTTCCCCAACTTCCTCGTTAATCTGGATATTCAAAAATGCAAAATAAACACAAGCCTTGCATGTTCTACGGTCGGAAGCCCAAACAAAAACATATTTGGAAACTTTGGGCTCCGGAAGCAGTCTGGCATAGCAGGTTCCCTTGAGGATCTTGCGAGTATGTCCTAGGATATCCAACTCTGAGGGCTGCCCCTCTATTCTGACTATGGCCATGTCTAGTATACCATCAGACGGTGTGAAAGACAAGACCATTGGGCCTTTGGCAGAAGGAACACATATCAACGGAGCTAAGTAGTCTTCAGTCTTCCCCTTGTCTGATCGGGACAAACTAGACATAGGTTGTGTCGAGGACAGGGAGCAGACCACCTTACTCTTCAGCTTCGCCTGACACTTCTTTTGGACTGCCTCCGACCCTTCTTCCAACGCTACGTCTCGAATCGTTTTGGGGGGGCCTGGAGATTTGGAACTCCTGCCTACCCCGGCTGATTCCTTTCACGATTTTTTAACCGGAGTGTCAATAGTTTTATCCTTCGAATCCTGAGACTGAGGGCTTTCCACTTCCGGAATACCCTCTGAAGATCCCACCGGGACTGACAGCAACGGGTCAACGTTAAATGAGGAGGGGACTGTGGTGTCCATTACTTCATCTTCAGGGACCCGGTCAGCACCAGACCCGTTTGCAATCCGCAACACTTCCGTGGGAGACCGATCCAAGTTTGTTGCATCCATGGCAACAGCTTCCGAGTTCTGGTTGATATTGAGGGTGGCAGACTTCAATTTGTCAATCCACTATCCCCGTGTCAAGGAGACTGGTGAAAATGCTAAGTTGACGTGATTAGTCACATAGTCCTGAGACGGGACTGTGAACGACCCACCCAGGACCGAGAGTCTACCTTTTGAGATCTCGGCTCTGGGTGGGGGCAGCACGTCTGATGTTGGGCCCTCCCCTGGCATGGAAGGACCAGATGATGTGCCCAGCGGAGAGGAGATTGATCTGTCTCGATTCTCTTTCGAAGCGGTTTGGGGAATCAACGAGCGAGAAGAATTCGCCGCTTGCTCTGAAGGACCAGCCCCTTGTGTCGGGACCTGGGTCTGGCCCTGATTCTGAATCGCAGATTTAATAGGGACCCAGGTAGGATGCTGCCCCGACCCATGATAACAAGGGGAGGGTTGGGGATGGCCAGAGGGGGAGGGAAGAGGAGTCTGAGTAGAGTTCCCTTTCCCATCCCCTCTCCCCCTCCCTCCCCCTCCCCCTCCCCCTCCCTTCGCTCCAGGCGGGTAAGTACCCGCTGGGGATTGGGGAGGGGAGGGGGGAGCATTAGATGCAAACTGTGAATTGTGTTTAGGCCTCTGCTTCATCGCTGGACAATCAGGATCACCTTCCAGGTGAAAATATCGGCAGCAATCACTGCACCAATCAGTGTCTTGGTTGACCACTTCCAACTCGATCGAACCGCCATCATCAGGGAGGTCAATTGCAATATACGGCGTGTACAGATGCCGGCCCGAAAGTTCCAAATCAAAGTGAATGTTAAAAAGCTCGGGCTCTTCCGGTTTTGATGAAACAGGGTCAGGCTTCAGAACTCGCCCATACGCCAATTTAACCACGTCATGGACCAACGGGAGGGCCCCTATAGGGACTTGTAATACACGAATCCAAAAACATTTGTATCTCAACTTCTCCCTCCACTCATTCAACTCCACCTCAGTCATCCAAGGTCGGAAGTAGAGCGTATAATTCACTCCGTCCAAATTAATTTTGTCCATTTGTTTCATATGGAACCAGGTCGCGACTTCGTTGGTGCTGGGGACATATGTGATCAGATTGCGACCTTCGTTATGGAATAACCCACTTTTGGGCTCAGGGCCCAACATGGGCATGCCAATCCACTTATTCTCATACATTATGACCAGTCTCCTTTTGATTCTGACCGGGAGGGAGTCACTTTTGTCCCCAAAAAAAATTGAAACAGCATTTTTGGAGAGCCATTCTTTTTTAGCATTGAAAACCCGATGGTCAACCTTGACACGGACACAATCATTCGTGCGCTCAATAATACCTGGGACGTCAGGAATCACGCCCGTAGGTAAGACCCTTGACCTGTAGCACTCCTCAAAAATTATCGAGGCTCTATCTCTATCCATTTCTGAGGGCGCAAGGATCAAGTTATCCGAAGCCATTCTGACTCCCGAGGACGACGACCTCAAATCAATAATATCATAAGGGTTGCGAAGAGAAAACTTAACAACGGACGACAAAGGCAGAGAGCAGTTTAAAAAAGGACCGTTATCCTATCAACACAATCTTAGACTTCCTTTTACCCAAAAGCAAATCCAACCCTGCCGTATTCAACTGGGCCAGAGTGGTGAGTGCTCACAAACCCTTGTCTAAATGAACGCAGATCAACTCAGGCAAAACCGCTCCAGGTATGTGCTACGAGATCACCTCCTGGCCAAACACAGGTTGAATCTTCATCAATATAGCAAGTACAGATCCCTCTGGTCGATCGCCAGCAAGAAATATGCCCTTGATTTTCGACAACCCAGCCGAGTCCAACACTTCTTCCCGTCAACCACTTGCAAGCTTCGCGGAGGAGAAAAGGAGCCCGCCCCTCAAGCCCTAAACTCGGGGGGAAGGGCGGCTCCCCATGTTAACAAAATCTCCGTAGAGTTCTCGGGCATGAAATAGAAGCAATATAGAGAGAGTATAAGTCAATTACTGGGCTGCCAGTCGTGCTCCTCGTGTGAACACTACGCATTCCTCAGCCCACTCAAAGGCTAAGTCACGAGGGCAAAGCAGAAGGATAATCGTTGCCCCCTTACTGGCAGGGCAGACAGAATCGTCACGCACCGCATGTAACACCACCGCCTTCTTGCACACCTCTTCGTCACCATATCCGCCCAGTCGTGCTGCCGTCAGGGCAGGAGCTAAGTTAGGGTTAACAGTCGAAACGAGAACGCGCCGTTCGCGCCGGACCCGCGGCGACTGTTAGCACAAACTTAGCGCTGCTCCGGCGGTAGCGACGGCCGGCGGATTCGCAAGGTCCCCCCTACTTTTTTTTTTTGCCCCCGTGGCCGAGGCATCTTGGGCGTGGCCACGGCCAGGGGGAAAACAAAAAAAAGAAGCCTATGCATCCCTGAGTACCTGAGGCCTACAGGGTAGGGGTCCAAATCAACCCTTACCGTCCGAGACCTCATATGCACCAGCCTGCGGCCAAGCTGCGAAAGGACCGCTTCCCCACAAAATCCACAAACACATCTCATGGGGCAAGGGGCAATTAGGACCTCCAGGAGGTCGGGGTTCATCAACAATTGTTTGGTTACTGGGGTCCGTTAGGGGTCGTTGGGGAAGGTGCAATTAGGACCTCCATGAGGTCGGGGTTTATTAGGAGTTGTTTGGTTTGCAGGGGTATCGAAAATATATTTTTTCTCGAAGGCTCAGGGGTAGTGAAACCATGGTACAAACTGGCCTTTGAAACAAGTGGCTGCCAATGGAGGGTTGGAGTCCCCCCGACGGATCTTCTGATTTTGATTCTTTTGATTTTTCTGATTTTTTGGTTTTGGTCATTTTATTGTCTGAACTTTGTCTAGTTGGAAGTACGGCCCCTGGCAGGAGTAACCCAGAGCTGGAAACGTTTTTCTGTAACTTCTGTTCTTGATCTTTTTTCTAGGTTCGGTTCATCCAGTAACTTCGGAATTCTGGACTCTTCTTTCTCGAACCTATTCTGGTTCCGGAGTTGCCTGTGCTCAAGTTGTTAAGTGGACTCGTTCTTTTTTGGCAGTACTTAAGTAATTAGTGTTATTCGGCCAGTCCCTTTCCGTGCGACTACAGACAGACCCCTGATGATTCCGGTATTTGGCGGCCGGATGAAACGCAGCGTAGGGTCGCTGCGCCTATTCATAACGATTCTCTTACGATGTATATGGCAGGTTTTCACTGTTAATTTTCCGGCCATCTGGTCGCGTTTCGGAAATTTTGGGACTTTCGTTTCTCTTCCTTTCCCGCCCCTTGTTTCTGTGTTTATGTTCTCTCTCCCTTTCTCCTCTCTCTTTTTCTCTCTCTCTCTCTCTCTCTCTCTCTCTCTCTCTCTCTCTCTCTCTCTCTCTCTCTCTCTCTCTCTCTCTCTCTCTCTCTCTCTCTCTCTNCTCTCTCTCTCTCTCTCTCTCTCTCTCTCTCTCTCTCTCTATCTATCTATCTATCTATCTATCTATCTATCTATCTATCTATCTATCTCTCTCTCCCTTTCTCTCCATCTATCTATCTTTGTCGAACGTGATGAGTTTTCCTGCTTTCGGCGATTTGTATTTTGTTGCTTTGGATGTCGGATTCGCCTATCCAGCAATTTGTGTAATAACCGCCGTGAAGATAGCATTACGGTAGTGTGGCTGCGTACTGTCTCATCGAACTGAACGTTGGGATGTGTCACTATTTTTGTCCCGTCCATCTTCTTTCTTTTTCTTTCCTTTTTTTTTTTTTTTTTTTTTTTTTTTTTCTCTCTCTGTCTTCTGCCATGGCTGCTTCGGGAAGGGGAGCCTGTTTTAACTGTGGCCAACAGGGCCATTGGTCGCGGGAGTGCCCGCATCCTAGGAACTATCAACGGCCACCAGTGGCAACGGGGGCCAATGCCGAACTGATACTGGCTTTACCAGCCGCCGGGGTGCAAGTAGCACCACTTGCAGCTCGAACGCCTGTGGAGAATTCTTACGGCGGAGCCCCACGTACGGGGTGGTGGACGAGGAACCAACAGATACTTGACAAGTGTAATGATTTTGTCAGTAAAGCGCAGCTGAAGGAAAGGGAGGAAATGGAAGTTGCCGAAAAGGAAAAGCAACGACGGGAGAAGGAGGAGGAGGCAGAGCGAGTGAAGAAGGATAGGCAAGAATTGGAGAATCAGATCGGCCAGCGCTTGGAAAGTGAGCGGGCTCCGATGTACAAAGCCATCATGGGCAAAGGGGTCGGCAAGGCGAACACCAGCTCAGATAACGACGAGATTCGTAGACTGCGACGAGAGAATGACGAATTAAGGACGAAATACGGCATCAAGGAGCAGTTGCCATCCACCGACTTGGTTGACCGGCTACAGCGGGAGAACGCGGACCTGAAACGTGTCGAGGCCGATATGAAGCAGAAGATGGAAGGGGAGCTGGGCGCCTTGAAATGGGAGATTCGTGACCTCAAGGAGGGCCGCGACAACATGGGGAGGAGCGATCTAGCGAAGCAAATCGAGGACCTGCGCATGGAGATGGAGGCTCTGCGCAAACGAAACGAGGAAACGGAGGAGGTCGCGAAGCTATGGAAAAACGAGGCTCTGCGGCCCGGAAACAAGCGAGGTAGTATCAATGTAACTACACCGGTTACCGAAGGACGAACCGCTACTAGGACACGTATCTCGGGGTCTTCGGAGGAACTGAGGCGCCTGCGAGTGCAACTTTCGGATTTACAGGAACGGAGGAAGTATGACCAAACTGAAGTGGACATGTTGAAGGAGAGGAGGGTTTTGGCCGAAGCAAGGAGGATCGAGGCCGAGAACGAGTTGGTTAGATTACGGGAGCAGCTGGCGCGACTGACGACGGAGCAAGCCGGATGCAGCTCCCCTAAAGAGCAGGGCACGAACCTCAAAGAGAGGATGGAAGAGGCGGCAAAAACTGGGTTTCGATCCGGCAAGAAGAGCAAGGTGAAGGCTACACCTGGGAGAATGGCTCGCCCGGACGATGATTTCGCTAAGGCAAATGATCGTTTTGGGTTTCTTCAAGACGAGAGAAAAAGATTGCGGGCTTTGAAGAAGGCGGGTTTGGAGTCGTTATACCAGGAAGCAGGTATCAAATACAAGAGGATGGACATCTCTGTCGAGGAGGTGGCTCAGATCAATGCGGCAAAAATGTTTGGTGAAGACAACGGACCTAAGGAAGGCCTTCGCGACGAGCGCAGCCACGGTAAGGCAGTATCTGATGACAGCAACGTCGTGGTCGTAGAGGAAGTCCCGTCAGACTCTGCTTGATGGGACTTCCCGAGCGCGACGATTTGGGGGTTTGCCAAGGTTTGTCGTGATGTTCGTTTTGTCTCTACCTCTTCTCTGCGTGATGAGTCATGGAACTCTCTTTTTCAGATTGCGGTGTTGATGTTGGTATTGCGTGGGTGCATTCCGTGGGTGGTGAATTTTCGGACTTACCTTTTGACTATGTTGAAAGAGGAGGGCGAGATGTATCGATGTCGAGGTCCAATTTTGTACGTCCTCATATCTCCTTGGCATAAACAATGTTATGTAGGTTCCACGGGGCGGTCTCTGGATGTTAGGTGGTGTGAGCATGTCTACCGGGTCTGCAATGAAGGCGTTATAGATAGCGGGCAAAGGAATCATAGGCTGTATAACTGGCTGCGCAGATGTTGTCCGGGCAAGTACGTTGCTCTGCCTCTGTTTCACTGCGATGAACGGGATTTGTTGGCTTTGGAGAGGTTTGTGACTCGGCGTACCAACCCCTTTCTTAACAGCAGGGACAGGTCGGTCAAACATAGGAGGTGTCGTCCGGGTAAGCGGGAGCGGGAGAGATGGAGACGAAGGCAGTCGGGTGATAGTGTGAAGACGGTGAGGGTTGATGTGGCTAAGCATGCGCACTTGAACTTTGTGGCACAAGAGGGTGATCAGCCAGCCAGTCTGATGGGACTTTCGTCGAACGCACGGTCGTGTGGAAAGAAGGAGATGATAGTTTGGTGTCTTGGAGGGGGTTTGCTTCTGGACAAATGGAGGGTGATCAAAAGATGCTTTGGGGGGTCCATCGTCGAGACTGATTTTGGAATTGGAGCATTGAAGAAGAACCGTGGCTGGCTGGCTAACGGCATAACTTTGAAATTTCGTTCCATCTCGTACTTTTGTTCTACTCTGCTATGTAACATAGTATTCGTGAAAACCTATAAAAAAAAATTGTTAGGTTTGCACGAAAATTTTTAAAGATTCTGATAGTATATTTTTCAGGCCTCCTACACGAACAAAATTTTATGTGAAGTAAATTAACCGCAAAAAGGGAATAGGAAAGTACTTTTTCATAACCACTGGAAGTGATGAGGAGAGAAGCAAGGTTTTTTACAAAAAATCACTACCTTGCAAAGCACCGTTTGTTTAGGCACCGAATTATCCCAATTTTTTGTTTATCTGAAAAAATCATATTTATAGTTCTATATGGTATGTAGCACGACGAACCTATTGGGGGGTCTCCCAAACACGCACACATGCTCTCCTGTTCACGAATACATTTGCTTGGATATGTTCTCTTATATATGGACAAATATATTATTTTTTGTGTTTTTTATTAAATATCTTTTTATTTTCTAATTTTAAATTATGATTGGCTGTTTGAATTCTTCTTTTACATAACATATATTTTTTGACAAGGGTTTTACAGTTATCTTTAAAATGGAGTTATATTAATTTATAGTTCTATAAACTCAATTTCTCAGAATCTGGTTTTTACCAAACTCTAGAAACGACTTATAGTTCTATAAATGAGTATTCACTGAAACTGTTTTTTTTAACATCTTTCGAGTTCGTCTTGAAGACCTTTAAGATTGTCTTGTTTGAGCTATGCTTTTTGTCAATCTACTAAGAACGACTTATAGTCCTATGACGTGCTCTTTGCTGGAAAAGATTTTCTTGCACATTTTGAGAACCGCTGGACTTTCTGCCAGTTTTTTTGCCTCCTTTCTCGGGAAACAGTTAAAAACGCTCTCTTTTATGTGTCAAAAATAAAAGTTTGACTTTTACTTTTTCATTCTATAAAAAATTTTAGGTTTTTTGGTTTTGTTATGTTTTCACGAATACTATGTTATGTCTGAAACCCACCCTGTTAGATTTCCTACAGAACCCTCCGTCTCGAAAGTGTTTGCCGGAATGGGACCTTGAAAAGATGGTAGGCCTCTACAGTGGCATCAGGAGCTTTAAGGAAAAGAGGACTAGGTACACTCTTCGCTGCGTTCTTTCCGGTGCTGTTCGTAGGAAATTTGGATTCAATGTACGCTCTCGTCCTGTTGTGCGCATTACTTATGATGATTGTCTCTGTAAGAGTGCAATTAGGACCGTGTGTTGCGAATTGGTGGGCAAGTTGGACTTGCCGGGGTGTATAAAGGATATGGTGGTGAGGCGAATGCGGGTGGTGTGGGTCAAGAACCGGAGTGTTGGGGATGTTTTGTTCAACTTTCGATCTGCGTCCAGGCAGCTAAAGTTGTCGTGTCAATGTGCTGAGGCTGATGAGGTTTTTCTGCGTGTAAAGGGGCACGTCTGCTTTCGTATGGCTGAGGTTGACTTCGTTCCGACTGCTCTGAAAAACTCTCGCAATATCCCCAGTTCGTCACATGTCACCTCTCGACGCAACTTGGTGAGGCAGGTGATTACTTCGTTTGGCCTGTCTAGCCTGTTACCTACCCTGCATGAGGACGCTTTTGATAAAGGCACGATTGACTGCTGCTTCAACAAGACGGTGAGGAGGGACGGCCTGTTCTCGTGGAGTATCGATACGGTGTTGGGATGGAGGGAAAAGTTTGGGGAGTTGGTGAAATGTCCTATCGATCACAATGCTGGTGATTCCCTTGTCTGTTGTCCTGTGATCTATCAGAGTGGTATGAACAAGTTGTTCTTGCGTAACCCAGGCTTCGTGATACGAGAAGATGAGGATGAGGTGATTTGTGGGTGTGCTTTAAGATACAAGGAGGGGAAGTTTGATCGGCTGGGTAAATGGAATCGTGCGGGGAGCTTGGGGCAGACATGTTCGATCCCGAAGCACAAAGATATCACCAAGTGGCGTCCCATTTGCCCGACGCACTCTGAGTGTGGGGTGTCAGCCAGCAAGAAGATTGCTCGAGCGATTAACCAACTGCTGTGGGAGTTGCCGCGGGAGACGAACTTCAACCTGAGGAGCATGGCGGATTTGGTTTCGTCCCTGCGTGAGATTAATGGGGAGCTAAAGCAAGGTGAACGATTTCTCGGCATGGCGTTTGACATCAAAGAGATGTTTTGTAATTTGCCACATGAATCTATCCTGAGAGCCGTCCGGTGGGTCGTTGACTTCTGGGAAATCCGAGGCTGCAAAGGCGTGCTGATAAGGAGGAAGGGGAAGGGTGCGAAACTCCAGTTTGGGGAATCCGCTATTGGCTGGAGTTCGGTTTCTTTTGAGACCATCTATGCTTTTGTAGAGTTCGATTTAGGGTGCACGCTCTTCAAAGCTTCTGGTCGAGTCCTGCAGCAGAGGGTAGGCATTCTGATGGGGAAGTCGTCTAGCCCGGCATTGGCGTGTCTGTTGTGTTCCTTCAACGAATTTTTGTTCCTGTCCTCTCTCGGCAGTGATAGGAGATTGGTGGGTGGTGTTCGAATGGTGGACGACGTGTCAATCATGGCCAGATACAAACAGGGTGATTGCACATCTATGCGGGACGCAGAGTCTATTCTGGTGGAATTTGAATCATGCTATGATAGTAATCTAATCTTGGAGCGCACCAGCGATGCTGACTGCTGGGATTTTCTCGGCTGTATTCTAAAGACTCTGGAGTGGCCTTGGGGTATTCAGTGTGTTGCTTTGCACAAAAATCAGCAAAGATACAACGAGGACGGCTTGCGATTCCAGAACCTGCAGGACTTCGATTCGTTCTGCAGTCGGCAGCAGAAGAAGGCGGTGATCGGCTCTTGCCTGCACAGAGCCAAGGCTCTCACAACAATGCAGGGTACGGAGGTGGCTTTTCTATTCACCTTAAAGGTTGAGCTCAGAAAGAGGAACTTCCCTGACGCATATTTTGATGATGTTCTACGCAATTTCTCAGGGAAGTTTGGGGGAATCTGGGCCGACTGGGTGCATTGCTTGACGGGGTGGGAACAGCTATCGAGATTGGGAACAAGAAGGTACCCCAGCAGGGGGGTGCCTCACGTGAGAGGCAGGGGGGCTGTGGAAATCTCGTAGGAAGCCCGGCATGATACTCGGCATGTAGGAGTATATGAATAGTTTTCAGAGAACTCACCATGAGATGTGTTTGTGGATTTTGTGGGGAAGCGGTCCTTTGCAGCTTGGCCGCAGGCTAGTGCATATGAGGTCTCGGACGGTAAGGGTTGATTTGGACCCCCACGAGGCCAGGGTTTGCTAGGTGTCGTTGGGCAAGGGGCAATTAGGACCTCCAGGAGGTCGGGGTTCATCAGCAATTGTTTGGTTACTGGGGTCCGTTAGGGGTCGTTGGGGAAGGTGCAATTAGGACCTCCATGAGGTCGGGGTTTATTAGGAGTTGTTTGGTTTGCAGGGGTATCGAAAATATATTTTTCTCGAAGGCTCAGGGGTAGTGAAACCGTGGTACAGACTGGCGTTTGAAACAATGGCTGCCAATGGAGGGTTGGAGTCCCCCCGACGGATCCTCTGATTTTGATTCTTTTGATTTTTCTGATTTTTTGGTTTTGGTCATTTTATTGTCAGAACTTTGTCTGGTTGGAAGTACGGCCCTGGCGGGAGTAACCAAGAGCTGGAAACGTTTTTCCGTAACTTCTGTTCTTGATCTTTTTTCTAGGTTCGGTTCATCCAGTAACTTCGGGAATTCTGGACTCTTCTTTCTCGAACCTATTCTGGTTCCGGAGTTGCCTTGAGATATCATAGAGCTGACCGGGGGCCAAGTCCCACTAGCAGCGTTGAGTTTCCTCAACGCCTGAACCTGGACGTGGTTGTGGCTATGTGCGATTGAGGAAACTCAACGCGATTTCGGCACATCTCCTCAAACACGTCCAGATTCGGTCGTTGCTGAAACTCGACTTTGCTACTGGGACTTGGCCCCGGCCCTGGGTAATTCTGAATTGTAGCATTCATTCGTTTGCTTCCGGTGGAGTTCGGACACTGGTCTGTCTTTCAACAGGTTCTGGGGTGTACCAACACCCCTTTCGAAAAAGGGGATTTAAAAAAAAAAAAAAAAAAAAAAAAAAAAGAGGGGATTTCCACTGTTTCAGCTCGCCACACAGCCTTTCGAAATCGGAGGGCATACTCACTCTACGAGTTTTTTTACGTTTTTCGACGGAATTGTCTCCAAGACTCCAAGTACATCCGGGTGTGGCCGTCTATATGGCCAGATTCCCTTGCGATACTCGCACTGCGACTACGCCCTCAGACCGAAGAAGACTTGGCAAGTTGTCAAAAAAAAAAAAAAAAAAAAGGTTTCGAAGTTCGAACTTTTTTTTTTTTTTTTTTTTTTTGGTTTGTTTTTTTTTTTTTTTTTTCAGGAAAAAGTAGAGGATCCTTTATTCAGCAATCTTAAGAACACTGAGGCCGGGAATCCTCAACAAACAACCCGGATGTAACCAAATCGTACTGTGAACCCTTCAGGCAGACTGATAGAAACTAGACCCCTGTTGGGCTGAGTTCAAAGGTATCTTCGAGCCCTCTGCTCTTCTGAACACACTAAAAACACCCCTAAACAGGTCTATAACGGCCTGTGGAGACCCACCGCATTGACACTCCTACCGCTTTGCCCAATAGCCAGCCAATCCACCTACCTCCGGCGGCAAAATACAGAACCGAGTGCCCTGGTAAAGTGAAAACACTGCCTCAAATCCAGAACTAGAGTACCCTCCACCCGACTTATTGTCCAGCCATTAACCAAGAGCAAAATTCCAGTTTTCCTTGAGCATCAACATTTACCAGCCATTTATTCATCTTGCCACTGCCCCAGGTTCTCAGAAACCCCCGAGTGTTTTTGCCCAACCTCTTGCCTTCGCAACCCCTCCTGTTCCAGTCCGCCAATATGTACTGTCTTAGCCTGGAACGGATCAAGAGCTTGATTTCTGCGTCAGCCGTCCCTTTGCCTTGGAAGCAGGCCCTGTTCCTGCAGTCCCAAATTACAGAAATAATTATCGCTCTGCATGCTTGTAGGACGTAGCCACATCCCTCCATAGGGTGCAGATCATCAGGGAGGATACCCAGCAAARCCCATTCCCGATTCCACTCCCAATTCCACTCCGCAAACTCCTTCCAATGAGCGGACCACCAGTCCCAAATCCGCTTGGAGGCAGGACAGTCCCACCATAAATGGAAAGTTGATTCGAAGGTCCAGGTGCAACGGGTACACGAGACTCTGATATCCATGCCTTTACTGGCCAACCAAACGGATGAGGGCGTCACCAGTAGAGAGAGGAGCCACAAGATTGCTGCGTGTTTTTTGAGAAGGAAGGACTTTCAGTTGCTTCCACAGCTTCGGTAGGCCTGTGCTAAAGGAGTTTGGCAAAATCATCAGCCTACTCTGCCACCTTTCTGTGGCTAAAACTAATGGTACTCTGTGAGGGGGTAAGAGATTGGAGAACAAGTTACTCTGATAAAGAAGCAGCGATTCCCCTTGTCTTCCTTTTCCCCTCCACCCCCAGCCTGCTGGATCTAGCTTGCAGCATCTGATATCTTGTCTATTTAACAGTTTGACCGTGTGACATTCCTCTACTTCCCAGGACTCCTCTACCCTGATTTGGCTCAGAGACATTCCCAATGGCGGTTGTCGGTTTTCCTGAGTTTTGAAGGCCTGATTGTCCAAGCTTGATGGCGTGGACCATTCTTCGAATGTCCTGGACCCATCCTGTCCATAAGACGTGAGCTTCCAGCAGGGGTGGATGTATGTCGGGTGATTTCCAATGTACCACGTACCAGGCGGGTCCAGTCTATCCGGTGCCAGCAGCGCCTTCCATTCTGCGGGGATGGCTGCAATCAACAGCTCCAACGTCTTTTCGACCTGGTGCAGATTACCCAATCTTCTCCGAACAGTGGACGGCGCGTGCCATTGCCCTCGGGAGTCGTTCCAGATGTCACCTACACGCAGAACGCCCTTCCTTATCCAGCTGTCGCCGAAAGACCCAGTGCATCTGTTTGCTCTGAAGCTGGTGCCTGTTGCGGAGCAAATAAAGGGGTTGTCGAAGAGAGATTGGATGAGAACTTCCTGTTTGGTAACTAGATTCCTCCACTCGTCTGGCCTGACCTCCTTCCAAGCACTAACTATCCCTGCCCAAAATGGTGACTGAATTCTCCTGTTCACAAAGGAAGCCAACTGCAGGCAAAGCCATACATCTTCCTTCCTTGCCAGCCCCGACTCTTCCGACAGAATCTGTTCACTCATCAATAGCCAATGTTCCGATCCTTCAGCTAATGATATTCGCGCTACCCATTGGGCTAATAATAAGCAGTTTTGCCTGTTGGGTTCAATGATCCCCAGGCCCCCCTCTGCTCTGGGCTGAGTAACCAGTTCCCAGGCGACTTTGGAGATGTGACCCTCCCCCTCTTCTGCTTTGGGTTTCCAGAGGAATTTGGATGTGGTTCTTCGAGTAAGAGCGATAAAGTTTGGCCCCAACAAGCGAACTTTGCCAACGAACCATAGGAGAGAAAACAGAGAGGCATTTATGACCATGGCCCGACCAAAGATCGACAGATGCGGGGCTCCTCTCCACGATTTTACTGTGTCCACTATCCTGTTTTGTAGGATCTCCTCTTGGACGTTTTGACACGAGTTCATAGCAATCATCACTCCCAAAAAACGTTCTGCCTCCCCCCTTTCAATCCGTTTCATGCCCCAGTCTACCTCGAGGGTCATTTCCTGTGGCAGAAAGTAGACTGACTTGCGCCAGTTTACTGCAGCTTCCGAATAAAGAGAATATTCATCCAAAAGTGATTTCAATGCCTCCAGAGCCTGCCTTGAGTTATCGCAAATTGCGAATAAGTCATCCGCTAGGGCCTTTGCCTTGCATTCACTGTTTCCTAGGGCCAGCCCTCAGATTTCAGGCCTGTGTCGAATGTTACACATCAGGACTTCGAGCTGTAGGACAAAGACCAGAGGCGCTAAAGGACATTGTTTCGAACTTTCGACACCTCCGTTTCGAAGAGGTTGCAGGGGAAAAAAAAAAAAACAAAAAAAAAAAACGAGGTTGCAGGCCGGTTGCATCCCTTCAGGCCGGCAACCTCCATGCACCCTCCACAACCTAGTTGGTGAGTGGGACTGGGGTTGGCACAGACCTCGTAGCCTCAGCAGGGCTGTATTTTTTTTCCGGACTTGCATTCGTGCATTGGCCACTTCAGGCCTGGCCACACCGCTCTGGAAAAAAACGGATTTTCAAGAGGTTGGGAATGGCCACACAGCCTCGTGAGAGAGAATTGCGATGGGTGAAAAAAAAATGCAAGAGGGGTGAGGAAGGCCAGATCCCCAGCCTGCAATATGGGAGGTTTCAAGCTTGCTCTGCAATATGGGAGGTTTCAAGCATGCTCTTGAGAGAGCACTCAGAGTACCCTATATTTTCTTTGTTTTTTGTTTTGTTTTCTTTGGACAAAAAACAGTTTGTTTGTTTGTTTGTTTGTTTGTTTGTTTGTTTGTTTGTTTGTTTGTTTGTTTGCTTTTAAAAAAAAGAAAAAAAGTCACAAAACCCAACAAAAACAAAGAGATACTTTTGCCGTTTAATAACGGTATAATACTAATGCACTGTCTCACGGGCTGTTTCTTTTTTTTTTTTTTTTTTTGAAGGGCCCTGTGCCCAAGGAATAAGATTTATAATTTGGAACCTGAGGCCGGGGTCCTCCAGTCTACCCGGATGAGCCGTGAGACAACCAGTGACAAAGAAGGTCTGGGAGCCTTAGGGCCTCGCCACACCACTGTCGAAACGAAAAAAGTTCGAGTGCATCTTCACGCAGAGCGTGGCAAGATGCATCCGTTACTATGAATAGCAACGGATGCATCTTACCACGTTCTGGGGTCGATGCATTCTTTCGTTTTTCGTTTCGACAATGGTGTGGCGAGGCCCTTACCCAGAGTTCGTTTTTTACAGGACCTCATGGGACCCGTCTGCCCAACTTGCTCGCAATTCCTACTACCAAAAAAAGAAAATGACAAAACTGCTAAATTTAGTATTTACCATCTTAATTTAAAGTTCTAAGATTACTAAAACTAATTACAAAAAAGGGAGGATTACCGACCTCACAATCTATTGAACACTCAATGAGT